ATACTGTTTTCGATAGAGAACTTCAAAGGCTATCGAAATCACTATTTAGATTTGATCTAGCTATTCGTCTTCATTGAAAAATCTCAACGACAAAAGGGGATCTATAATTTTGATAAACCCTGTATATTTAAATGAATTAAGGTCGAACACACTTACCCAATGGAACACGATACGATTGGTGGAAATCACCAACAATAATTGCTTATAATAATAGTCGTAATTGTATAACTGATTATTATGTAAATGATTTAAAAACATTAACATATACTGTAAATGATGTTCCAGTACAAGTTCAATTAGCTGGTGAACCATTTTCACCAACAACTCTTCGACATATAGGTGCACTTCGTTTTGTATATGATACTTTAATGAAAAATAATGATATAAATTCATTTAAAATGCCTGGAACAGAATTTACAAGTGAACAAACTTTTTTTCTTGCTTATGCTCAAACACAATGTTATCGACGACAAGAACTTTTACAATTACTACGAACACAATTAGGTGTTTATGATGAAAAAGCAGCATTAAATACTGCTCTTATTCATATGCCGGAATTTGCTGAAGCATTTAAATGTCAACCAAAAGCGAACCAATGTTTTTGAATAGTTTTTTGTTTTTTAAAAACAAACAAGAGTAACTAATAAATTCTTACCTTTGCTATTTTTTTTTTTTGTCTTGATAGAGAAATTATTTTATTCTAATGAATGAAATATTTCACCGATCAGTTTTATCTTAAAGAACAAGATCGTTATAAAGATATGTCGTTCATAAGCAGATGGAATTGACTTAATAGGTTCAAAATTTCGATTCTCATACACAATCGATAATTTATTGTCATATGTAACGCGAAGAAAAGAAAAGAAAAAAAATTTTCATCATATTTGCAATTGAGCTAAAGTGTTTAGTTCTCTACGAAATATTCAAACTAAGAATCTATTATATTAGTAATTCCATTATAGGTTTATATTTAAATTAACAATGCGATTTGAACATCTCCGGAAAAGTTCAGCTTTACTCGATTTAGTTATATTGAGGCAGCAAAATATAATTCCGTCACAATTAAACAGACCGATCCCAATTTGTGTTTATATTTAAATAACAGAGAATGATATTATTTATCTGAATTAGAGTCTGCCAAATTGCGAGTTTTCGATCTAGAACTGGAGACCAATCGAATGAGTTCTAATCTGAAATATAATAGCATTTATCTCGTATGTTTTTGCCTTAGATTAAATGTTAGTCTAGTGTTTATTGATCTTATTACAGTAACCAATTGAATATTAAAACGTAGAATATTAACATGTGTTTATTAAAAAAATTAATTTCAATTGTAATTTATTAGTACAACTGAATTATATTCAATTCTAGAACTATTAGTTCATTTTATTTAAGTTTTTGCTTTATTATAATTTTGTCAAACGAAAAGTTTTGTTTTCAATTCAATTAGTTTACTTATTTGTTGTATTCAACTTTCTTGATAATAAAACTATGTCAGCGCGAGATCTGAAAGTATTCAGTTAACAAGTGAATAAGGGAAGAACACAAGAAATTAGTGATTTGTAGTTTTCAGCAAACGAAAGAATAAATAGGAGAGGATCTTTCAATCCGATAATATATAGGATGAAATCACTCTGAAATCTATGAATTTCACAAAAAAATGTGTGAAAATTGTCTGTCATCGGGATGAAATTTTTTGATAACAATTAAGAAGTCTTATGTAAAAATTAACAAAAAACCCAATCGAACAGACACACAATTTTATTTGTATATCAATATTAAAATTTCATCCTTGTCTTAAATATTATCTGAGAGAATGAGATGTTTCCATGTTTCCTCTTTCAATTGCTGAAAACTGCAGTTCACTAGTTGCTTGACATTCTCAACTTGTTCAATTTTGTAATCAAGTGCTTTTGACTTTCACATGAAAAATTATTCTTTTTCACAAAACAATATCATTTTTCATGTTTATCTTAACTTTTGACTCTGTCAAATGCACGTTTGTACCCAAGAAAATATTTTATCAACAATGAAAAGATAAGCAAATTATATGCTATATAAAAACAATTGAAATAATAAACATGACCATTATATCATATATATATATATATGATATAATGGTCATGTTTATTATTTCAATTTTGAATCTTCTAAGATCCATTTTTTCGTAGTAACAGAAGTAAACGCTCTGAAATTTCTACTAGTAGTAGTAGAGGCTCTCGTGATTAACTATAGGTATGATTTCTTTAAATTTTTGTTGAAGTCCGTCAAAGCTATAGAAAAAATACTAGCCGTTACGGAATTTCATAAAATGGAATTTTTTTA